TTTATATATTTAATGGATATGGTTGGAGATATGAGTGAGCGTTGGCCGTTGGATGTTGAGAATGGACGGTCGATATTAGAAAAGGATAATTGTACTGGATTTTCAGGATTACCCTTTTTCTTCTTTTCCCTTATATTTTTTTATTTTTAATTCTAATTACAATTGAGTGACTGGTACTGCCACGTCACCACGGTTTCGTGTCTACTTCTTCCGCCTGAGGAAAGATGTCGTACATGCAGCTCAGCCAATTAATTTATCCCACGCTGCCGTACTTATTATTAATATTAATATAATTAAGTACACATATTAATAGTCTTATGCTATATTAAATTATTAGATTAAATTAAGACAAAAAAAAGGTCTTAATTTGGTAATTACTCTTACGTGGACCAATAGCGTAAGCTTTTAGATTGAAAAGTATTCTTGGTGGGGACAGGGAGATAAGAATTCTCGCACGTGTCGAATTTTGCAGACGTGGAGGATGATTAGACATATTAGTTTAACAAGTTGGAGAATATAAGAATGAGAAGGAACATGTGGCTGGTAATGAAACTAAGGGGATGACGTGGCATCCACCTATTGCTTAAACGGATCAAAAACGCGGACCAAGTTGCCCAATGCCAGCAGAGACTCCCAATATCCAATTCCTCTTTATTTATTTATATTTTTTTCTTTTCACTTTCATCTTCTTTTGGTCTACAAAAATGCTGGAAATGAAGGACTCTGCCATTAGAATTTTCGGCAAGAAGATTCCGCTTCCGGCCGACTTTGAAGCTCCGTTGATGCAAAGCGATGATTTGGATTCAAGCTCCGAGAAAGAAAATCGAGACGGAGCAGTAGAAAAGGTACAGTTCAGTTGATCCTGGTTTTGTGTACTCTGTTTTCCTGATTCCTGAATTCGACCTGTTTGTTTTTATGGAATTTGGTATCCCTCCAACTGAGTTGGATCTTCCGGAACTACAGTACTCTGCGAGGAACATGGCGGTTGGTGTGTTGACCGTTTAGATGTACTTTAGATTTTGTTTTTTTCGGTTTTTGATGCTTCGAGCTAGGGAAAGTTTCCGCAATCTTTTGAGATTCAAATGAAAAAAACACTGAATCAATCTACATAAATCGATGATTTGTTATTCGTACAAGAAAATTGTCCTACCAAGGTCTCAATCAACTACGAGTTCTGCGATAATCAAGCTAGAGTTCTAATTATTCGACCATTGAACTTCGAATTCCATTCATCTTGATTATCATTTTCTTTTGAATATCCTATTCCGTGCAACTAGTTCCAATTTTCAGGATGCAGTTGTAGGCAACTTTGGAAACAAGTGGGAATTAAATATCATTACTCTTCGTTCTTCTAGGTTATTATACTGCCAACTAGTTTCCTTAATCTGCTATTGATTTCTGATATGTAGATTCAAATTTATTTGGTATCTATAACTGATAAATCGTATTAAGAACTGTTCCAATTTTCAGGATGCAGTTGTTGGAAAAGCCACCGAGAGTTCAGCTGCAAAAGAGGAAACTATTCATGGTTCAGAGGATTATGCATGTGTAAAAACAGCAAATGAGGCGCACATGAATCCTGAAGTGTTATCAGCTGATGAAAATGATAAGCTCGCAGCAAGCAAAACTGAGAAAGAACAGAATGATGCACCCAACTCGAAAGAGAGGCTGAAGAAACCAGATAAGATACTTCCATGTCCCCGCTGCAATAGCATGGAAACCAAGTTTTGTTATTACAATAATTATAATGTCAATCAACCACGCCATTTTTGCAAAGCCTGTCAAAGATATTGGACTGAAGGCGGTACCATCAGGAATGTCCCTGTTGGAGCTGGCCGCCGAAAAAACAAGAACTCTGCCTCACACTACCGACACATTACAATCTCAGAGGCTCTTCGAGCTGCACAAATTGATGTTCCCATTGAGGTCAACCACCTAGCATCAAAAGGCAATGGACGAGTCCTCAATTTCAGTGTAAGCGCACCTGTATGTGAATCTATGGTCAATGTATTAAATCCTGCAGAAAGAAAGGTCTTGAATGGAACAAGGAATGAATTTGAGGGAGCCAAAGGACCTTGTGAGGGTGGGGAAACTGGTGATGATTGTTCTAGTGCATCTTCAGTAACAATGTCAAGCTCAATGGAGAATGGAGCCAGGAGGTTCCCTCAAGAACCACAGATGCAGAACATCAATGGTTGCCCTTCTCAAATCCCATGTCTTCCTGGTGTTCCTTGGCCTTGTTCATGGACTGCACCAATACCTCCACCAGCCTTCTGCCCTCCTGGAGTTCCTTTATCACTCTACCCTGCAACATATTGGAGTTGCAATGCTCCAGGTTCTTGGAATATTCCTTGGTTCACTCCACAACCCTGTCCTCCAATCCCTGGTCCAAATTCTCCGACGCTAGGGAAGCATTCGAGAGACGGCGACGAACTCCAGGCTGATAATTCCGGGATGGAAAATCCTCCAAAACAGAAAAATGGATCTGTTTTGGTTCCCAAAACTTTAAGGATTGATGATCCAAACGAAGCTGCTATGAGTTCAATATGGGAGACACTTGGTATTAAGAATGATTCAATCAAAGCTGTTGATCTGTCTAATGTTTTCCAATCAAAGGGCGACCAAAAGAGTAACGTTTCTGAAGTGTTGTCTCCAGTTTTGCAAGCCAACCCTGCAGCCTTGTCAAGATCTCTTACTTTCCACGAGCGGTCGTGAATGGTATTTTTGATTTTCCAGGTTCATTGTAAAAGAAATCTTAAGTTAAGAAGCTTAAGCATGAAGTGGATACAAGCATCAATCTCAAGCTTCTTCTGCCCAAGAAGCAATCCAGTTTTCCAAGAATCCCGGAATTGTTATCTCTATAGAAAGAGTAGCTGCCATTATCAAGCCATCCTTTTGTACATATCTTTACATATGTGAATAACCGATGTAGAGTGGCAGCTAAGGATTCTCAGATGTATAAAAATGCAGCCAAAAGATTGCTTCAGTTTTGATACTATTGGCAGTCCATTCCATCCGAACCCAAACTTCAAATCCTTGTTTTGATAATTCACCTGGAAATATTTTGAAGAACACAGGAAGGGAAGTGCATAGCCAAAGGGCTGATAACTGTCATTGTCAAAAAGGTGAAAATGCATTTCAATATCTCTAGAATGATGCCAACAGCCAGAGCAACATGTGATATTCCATACAGCTAAGCTTTGAAAAAGTAGAGGGGCAGTTTGGTGAGCACCAAAAAGGCTGAGCAATACAAGTCACAAATCCTAGAGGGATGCCTAGATCTTTCAACACTCGTTAGTTCACATCAACTAAAGATAACAAAGCAAAAGTTAAGCCCCTTTCCTCCTCAATCCCAACAAAACTCCAAGGCTACTTGCTTTAAAAGACTGTCATGGAAACACTTTTCTTTTCCACTCTTTTCCCTTTCATATGGTAGAAGAAACAAAGTTGGATGAAAGATTCCACATTGGTCGAAGAGTATAACGAAACATTCCCTATAAGGATGTGAAAACCTCTCTTTAGCAGACACATTTTAAAACTGTGAGATTGATAGCGATATGCAACGGGCAAAAACAGACAATATCTGCTGGTGGTGGGTTTGAGCTGTTACCAATGGTATCAGAGCCGGGCACCGGGTGGTGCACCGGCGAGGACGTTGGCCCCCTAGAGAGGTGGATTGTGAGATCTTACATTGATTAGAGAGTAGAACGAAGCATTTCTTATAAGGGTACGAAAACCTCTCCCTAGCAGACGTTTTTTAAAACCATGAAGCTGACAATGATACGTAACAAGCCAAAGCGGACAACATTTGCCAGGAAGAGAGAAAAAAAAGATATTTGACTGGTTGAATGTAGACCAAAACTTGTATTTTCACATAACAAAAGTATGAACGTCGTGGCGGTCGTCGTCATCACTAATCCATTAGCAAAGAAATACATAGATATTTTGTTGGTAGGGTGAAATCTAGACCCCATATTACGCAGAAAATCTGGTGCTATAGGAGCTAGAAGCCAAGGCCACAAATCACTCTTGGCATTTCTCTATTTCCTTTTGCTCTTTTCTTCCCTTTGTGAAAACCACCGTCCATCGCATCACATCCATACGCTCATCCTTCGGTTTAGTTCTGTGGAAAGCTACAGAATTCATTACACTGAAACTCTCAGGCAACCAAATAAACAGAGAGTTCATTCTGTGTCTGGATCACTGAAGTTGCACCCAAAGAGAATGGGTTATCAACTTTACACTGTGATTTGCATTATATTTTTACTCCGATTAGTGCTATTTCCACTAACATCAAGTGCTTGCTTTGAAATATCTGAAAAAAGAAAACCCTTTGTTTATGTAATCTGATTACTTTTATCTCAAATTATTGGTTTTTCTGCCAAAGTTGACTTTGTTCAGAAGAAGTTGCGTAGAGTCAACTTCCCACTATAATCCCTCTTTTGTTTATGCTTTCTATGCCATATTCTTCCTAACTTTTGATTTGAAATATTAACAAAAACACTATAAACTTTTTGACCCATTAAAATTTTAGGGACCAAAATAAAATCTAAATAGAGTCGAGAACCAAATTAGAATTTATCCAATTAGAAATATCGATAAAAATAAGATTAAAAAATGATGAAAAAATTATTCGAAAAGGTCAAAGTTACTTAATGAACTGGTTTCTTACTGTTCTTATCATTTTGATTGAACCACAAGAAGAAGGGTGGGTATGGGGTGTGAAGCATCACTTCCCCATTACGCAAAGAATGAGAGGAAAGGAACACCCAATGTATTTCCTGCCTCACAGTGGGATTGCTAAGAATTTTAACTTGACAAATGCATTCACAGCTTGCACATACTCTGCCTTTTCTTTCACTTCTTTCTTTTCCCATATGATGCCCTTCTTAACCCTTCAATCATAGGATCTACACAAATCAAACATGTTACTATGAAATAAACGAACTCGTTTGCATACGCAATTCGTTCATACCCGATACGCATAAAGGAATGGAATAAGAACATAAGAAAAATTCCCTACTTTTATCATTTCAATCTTTTATTGTTAAGTTCCCATGTATCGCACTGGAATCAATTCTACTCAAGATAATAATATAATAACTCGATGAGTCACTGAATTCTGCACCCTCCTGGGTCTTGTCCACGATGTACATTGCCATAGGCAGACAGTTCAAGAAGGTCCATGTCTCGACCTGTAAGTGATTTAAACCAATTGGCCATATGATACCATTACCAAGGTGTAAAATCATAATCTATTGCAGTTAAACAAAAGTAGTGTACCTGAAACCCGGCAGTAAGAGCTTTTCTGAATTAGTTCTGCTCTTGAAAGTTCAGTACGGTTTCCCTTCGATCGATTAACAGTTGCCTAAATTGTAGATGATACAGTCATCAAACGAAAATAAGAATTCTTTCTTGGAAGTAATGTTTTTTTCTTTTCTTTCCTTCTAAAAACCACTCACTCCTAGCCTAATAAGCACGGATACAGATTCATATATGACAGATACGGTGACAAATCATTTTTTAAAAACTAGAACAAGAACACGTCCTCTAGGACACGTTTATTAAAATATATATCATTTTTATACAAGAAAGAAATCCAAAGTCAATAAATTATGCATTTATATGCTTAACAAAAGTTTGATGTATTTTACTCTCAAAATTTACTACTTTTGTACTAACTGTCATGTGTCTATTTAGGATACTTAAAAGTGTTCGATATGTATATATATCTATTGTGCTAACTGTTTAATACGTGTCCAAGTGTCCAACATGTGTCGAACACAAACATACTAATGCTAGCAAAACTAAAGTATACGTGCTTCTCGACTCCTAGCATTAGCAATGATATTCCAGAAGGTATTTAAACATTTTAATGATTGTGGTATAAATGTATTTAAAAGAAATCTTTCTTAGAACACTCATTCTAAGAAATTTAATTAAAATCTTTGGGTGTTTGGTTACATTTTCTTAATAAGTGATTATAATCAAGTTTGTTTTCTTGCACTATATCTAAAAGTGATTCTACAAATGTCAAAAAACAATAAAGTAATTCCCGATCAATTACTTACAATCACTTTTCGATAATCAAATTCAAGCACCTTACATTAATTTTTAAATATATATTACACTTTTTTTTCCCTCTAAAATTACTTAGAAAGTTAATCTAAATGCACAGTAAGTGTATTAGCCAGAATGCTATGTGATCGTGCTTCCGTCCCAGATCAGTAACACCCCGACTTTACAAGAATGTAAATCGAGTCCTTAGAAATAAACAACACCCAAGTGAAAAAAAAGGGGGGGTGTTCTCTAACACATGGTAGATAGAATATCTGAATAGAGAATTTAAATTATAACCTAGCAAGTAACTCACTATAGTAAACTCTTTAAAAGACAGATACCAGGTTAAGCACAGTCAACTAAGCATTAAGAACTTCTTTGTATCAGCACCTCACACATTATTAAGCATCATAACAACCAGTAGCTACCAAAGAAACTCCCAGAATCTTAATTATTTCTTCATTCCTAAACATGCACAATAACATTTCTGTCCTCTTAAATATAATACTCTCTTAGTCCAATTAGTTTGAAGGAATAATGCCTAAACTAATCAATTTCAAGTATATGATGCTTAAACTAAGCGAAGGTTGAGTATGGTACTAAATGAAGTTTGGATGGCATAAGGGAAAGTCATTAGGACTATTACCTGCAAAACCTGACAATTTTCCAGTGTGCTTTTTCCTCCCTGCAATTTGAAATATTCAAACTCAATCTCTCAAGAGTAACGCAAAACAGTAACAGAATTTAGAAAGAAACATACATGCCAAAATTGACTTCTTAACAAGTAGCCTCTCAGAATCTGATACTCAACTTTTCAAAAGAAAAAAGGGGAAAAAAAGGAGAGAAAGGAAAAATAAAGTGATACTCGAGGGATGAATGACGGAATAGTCATCTTAGTCATATACTCAGTTTGGGCTTGGATGAGGAGACCCCAAACCCCCTTTAAAATTTGTAAGCCACAAAGAAGTTCATGCTTACTTAATTGACAGTACCATTCTTCTCTTAACACATTTAGTTGCAAATTCTAAGCTTCCACTCGTATAAGCTTTTAGACCAATTAGTATGTCATTTTCCTATGTTATAGCTCGGTAAAGTGCAAGAAAACTTAGGAAGAAATAAGCATGAAAGCAATATTTGTGCATAAATCTCCTGGGTCCGATAGAAGAGAAGATTATAACAGACAGAATTCCACAACCATTTAATAACATCAAAAGTTCAATACTGTAATTCTAAGCAATTGAGTAAATACATCATGTACATGTGATAATCTAAATAAAACTGGAAATGAAATATTTTCAGGTCGCAATACATTAAAATGACAGCAAAATGACAGCCAAATCCATAATGTAGAAAGCAGAACCCACCAACAAGTCAAATATACAAAACCAAGAGCACACTCAAGTCAAATATACAAAACCAAGAGCACACTCAAGTAGAATTGAAAGTAATATGACCCGTTAGGAATCATGATCCTCCATAATGATATTATCCACTTTGAGCATTAGCTCTCGTGGCTTTGCTTTTGGTCTTCCCAAAAAATCTCATACTAATGGAGATGTATTCATGATCATCCCCTTAATTAGCCCATGTGGGTCTCCCACCCAACAATCCTCACGATCCTCCCCTCGGACAAAGTACACCATAGAGCCTCCATTAAAGCCTATGTAGCCCTCGAACAGCCTCCACTTAATCGAGGCTTGACTCCTTTTTCTAGAACCCTCGAATAAAGTACACCCTTTGTTCAACACTTGAGTCACTTTTGACTACACCTTCAAGGCTCACAATTCTTTGTTCAACAATTGAGGATTCTATTAACATTGCTAAGTTAAGGGCATGACTCTAATACCATGTTAGGAATCACATAAATTCACAACGGTATGATATTGTCCACTTTGAGCAATAGCTCTCATAGCTTTATTTTGGTCTTCCCAAAAGGCTATAGTCCCACGATCATTCCCTTGATGACCCATGTGGGACTCCCTCCCAACAATGACCATAACCATGTCTCTAATAAGCAACTATAAAAGGTTCTTGCTCATTTCCATCATACAGCCTACATTACGATAGCAAACACAAAGCACTTCACAACAATCCAGTCCCATACTCAACAAAATACAAGAAACGCCAAAAAAAAAAATAATAATAATAATAAAATAAAATAAAAGAGGAATACCAACGAAACATCTGGAGTAAAGAGTAGAATCGATAAGGGGAAGTACCTTAGAGTAAGGCAAAATATGATCATAGTCATGACAAAGACAACCGGGGCAGCCAACAAGCTTTCGGAAAACAGTGTTACCAAGAGCATCTCGGCGCCACCGATCTGGGTCCCTTCCTTTAATCTTCTCGGCCTTATCCCAACATTGCTGCTTCACACTGTAAGGAAAGCTCCGGGGATTGTAGTCTGAAACTGAGTCATCGGGAGAGAGTTTTAGGTCTCCGAGGAGATTGGCTTCGCTGGTGACAAGGTCACGGTCCAGAAGGGAAGTAGAGGGGCTGAGCCTCGATGAGTGAGACCCATGACGCCTCGATTCGAACCTCTTTGAAGGACTGGTTCGGTCCCTAAGCGGTGATGAGGGGCGAGTTTTCTTCTTCGATTCTTTGCTCGACCTCATCTCATCATTCGGTCGTTGGCGGATAATTTGAGCGGTAATAATGGTAAGTGGCCCTTGTTTCGTTTCACTTGTTAAACGACGTGTCGTCTAAGGATTATTGAATAATTCCCCCCCCACCCCAAAAAAAATCGACTTTATAAATATTTTTCATCATCTTTTTTTAATTTCTTTGTGCAACTAAATTAACCAATAAATATAAATATATATATATATATATATCTACATTTTGTACTCTAAAATAAAAAATAATTTTAAACTTTAAAAAAGCCATTCAAATTTTTCTTAAGTCGAAAAAAATGCTTTTCATTTGGTTTATTTCATACCCGAATCATCTTGAATTATATATAATATTAATATTATTATGTCTATATAAAGATTTAGACTAGTATTATTTTGAGATATGAATCCATTATTATTTTGTATTTGTCTGAACACAATTGAAAAAAAAATTTGTAATAGAGATTTTGTAGTATGAGACATACACTTGTAAATACTTTGATTACAGGGATTTGCCCGTGGATGTAAGGGAATTTCTTCTCTAAGAACCATGTAAATCTTTGTATCTCTTTATTTAATTACTATTCGTGTGAGCGTTTGAGTACGATCGATTTTGTTTCCGTTTCCACTATAACTATTGGTATCATAGCATTTTGGTTGTGACATTTAGTTGCAACAAATTCAACATGTGCCTTAATGAACAATAGAGTCAACCTACGTGTTCGCTGACAATGGAATTCAAGCTGTTTTTTTGGGCTCGAGGTAATAATTTGACAAACTAATCCTCAAGAAATTCCTTATAAAGAATTGAACTCGCCCATGCATAGACATGAAACTCACTCTTACTCAATTTGACACCTTAACATACCATTAGAGTATTTGGACAAAATATTAATATCAGCTACGCCTCAAATTCGTACTGCCAAGCTCGAGTGTAATATCCCCAAAGTTGATTTGAATATTAAAAAGATGAATGTTGTTGAAGGAGGTGATACCCCAATTCATGAGTGAAGGATCATGATCATGTCATTTAAACAACAACATCCAAGCCCACCCCCTGTACACGGATATCCACATTCCCCATTGCAACACACTCTCTCAAAACAATTCTTTTCAAGTTCATTTCAACAACAACCTTCAAACCCAAATTTAGTTGCCACCGAATGTCTGGACAATGGTGTTGTGCCATGGGTCAGAAATGTGCTGCAAAAGGTTCTCAAATGGCCCCTTTCCGGTCACATTATGTTGCACGATGAACCCCAAAAACGCCAACATTGCGAGCCTCCCTGTACCAAAAACCCAATTCACAGCATCGTAAGCCACAGCCTCTAAGATCAACATATAAAATCTGGGTTTTCTTTTTGAAGATCTTACCATTGGCGATTTCCTTCTCTTTGGCTTCAAGAGTGGGAGCGAAGTTCAGGGGGTTGAAAATGCCACCAGGGTACCCCACTTCATTTGGGGGCAAACTGTATTGCTTGAAAATGGGGTCTTGGTTCACGCTTCCTGGGTTTTTAATGTCCTGCCATCTCCGGATTTCGACGTAATGGAACAGGATGAACTCGATCACGAACAGAGTGGAAGACGACGCGAAGTACTCTGCTTTTCCGGCGTCGTACCATTGAGGCGCGTTGATGATTCCGATCTTCGTGAAAACCTCCGGCAGAAGCATTCCGGCCACACCCAGCATCGCCCACCGCCCGTTCACGAGCTCCGCTTGCACGAACCACCTCAAATTCTCTGGGTCCTCCGCTAGACCCAGTGGGTCGAATCCGTTGTCGCCGGCAAGACTGCATTTTACGCGAAGGATTAAATTATTACGAATCTGAATATAAAAGGAGCTAAATTTATGTTTATGGCATTACCTGCCATTTAAGTACGCCGGAGATGGCAGACCAGGCAACCACTCTCCCTTCTTGGCTTCAACCTTGAACGATGAAGACGGCGAAGCAGCCACCGGTTTAACCGACAGCTCGCGGTGGAGTTTACCGAAAGACCCAGTAAGGAACCTCGATCGGGAGGCGAATGGCCGGAAAACGGCGGCGGAAGCTTGAGTGGTGACGGTGGCCATTTCTCCTTAATGATCTTTTCTTGGGGTTGAGGAAGAAAATGGATATTGCAGGCCTTTGTAACTTCGCTTCAACGCCGTGTTTGTGGTTCTCGTTCGCTCTTCAGATCCGACGGTGGATCGACAAGATTCTCAGGTATCTAACGGTCAAGGAAACGATGGGGCTTATCGCTTTATCCTTTTGAGTAATATCTTCAATATGTTTCTATGTTTTCATTGGATGGATTATGATACTGTGGGGCCATCTCTGTCCTACGTGGAGGGTGTTCTTCAAGAGATACGATTGTGGAAATATACCCACGTGGAATCGTGGCTTTCCAATCTGAGATCGACAGCTGGCTCTTTCATCAGAAGAAATCTCAACTCCACACCACTGTCTTAAGCTCACCAACAAAGTAGTTTTATATATTAAATATTAAATGTTTATGATTGAAAATATTTTTTTATCTTTAAATTTTTTTTATCTCTATTCTCTAGTCTAATTGGGCTTGAGATTATATTTTCGAAGTTTCGTCGGCCCAGGATCAAAGTTGGGCCTCAAAGTTGGGCTAGACAACGCATTTGAAGCCCATAGAACCCAATGACCCAAGGCAAAGCCCAAGGTGGGAATATTATCTCGACACCGGTGGATTCTAAATTAGGGTAACATGGATTCTTGCTATCACATGCTACCAAAACTGCAATCGCATTCTTGATGACAGCGAATTTACGATTGTGCGGCACTCACTTTCCAACGACAAGTGAGCTAAGCTAATTTGTTCTTACGTCGCCTACGGCCACGTATGCTCGAGTCTCTTGCCTCGATTTAATAAGAAAGTTTTAGAAAACGAGAGCATAGAGAGATTTTTGAAAGAGACGTTATTATAAGCAAGTAAGAGAGTAATAACAACAGTATATAATCTTGGGTAGGGAGAAGTTGAATACATATTAACAATTTATGCAATCAAGTGTCAACTTATATTTTAAATCCTTATCCAAATTTAGAAACTGAGGGGATATGATCCATCAAAGTTTCTGTAATTTCTCAAATTTTCGGAAAAGAATCAGTAACAGTCTAGTAGATATTGTCTACTTTAGTCCATTACATATCGTTGTCAGCCTCACGATTTTAAAATGTGAAAGATCCCCTCTTCAATCGATGTAGGATCTCACAATCCACCCCTTGGGAGTCCAATATACTCGCTAACACACCGCCCTGTGTCTAGTTCTGATACCATTTGTAATAGTTCAAGCCACCGCTAGTAGATATTCTCCGCTTTAGCCCACTACATATCGTCGTCAACCTCACAGTTTTAAAACGCGTCTACTAGAGAGAGGTTTTCACACCCTTATAACAAATGTTTCATTCTCTATCCAACGACGTGGGATCTCACATTAGCAACATGATCTCCGTTTACCTTCAATAACCTTCAACCTCTTAACCAAAAACTATGGATCTTTAAAGACTATATCAAATCTCGGTAGAAAAGGTCTCGAATTGGCCCAAATACCAACTTTTTGGTCTCATCGCTTGTCAAGTAGAGGATCGAACTAATTTATATTTAACAAGTCCCTTATTTATATGTTGTTTATAAGTTCAACATCTCATTTAACACAAACTTACATATACTTAAGATATAAGCAGAAAAACAAAGAAGAAAACAACTGAACCAACAAACAACAGAACCAACAAACAACCTCACACTAAACTAATATTATAAACCCCACACAGGTCTAAGCTAACACAAGAAACAAGGTGGCGGGTGTCAAATGCCTACCGCTGCCAGTATCCTCTCACTCTCTCTCTCTCTCTCTCTGCCATTGCCTTAAAACACACACACAGCAGAACCACCCCAAGACCAGACCCAAACCCCACATAATAATATATTCAAACAAACTCCCTCTAAACTACTAATTCTAAACCACAGACCACACTGGAAGAACACATTAAAAGCAGTGCCCATTCCAAAAACACCTATTTTTTAACACAGTTTCCTATAAAGTAACAAGAAAAAGAAAAAACAGGAACGCATCTGTTCTGTTCTGTTCTGTTTTTTTCTTCCCGTTCATGGGAACTGAAGCCCACTATAAGTCTGACCAAAGCTCCACCCAGCTGGTGCTACGTTATTGGATATCACCGTCCGGCCATCTCCGGTGAGCACTTTGAACGACAGGCTCTGTCCATTCAGATATGAATTGCTCTGCCAGTTCTGCCCCCAGTTCCTCGACATTGCTTCCCACCCTGTTTTCGACCCTTTGATCCATACCCCATGAACATCCCCACCTCCACCAACGTTCGTTACAAGAACTAAATTGAAGTACGAATGGCCGTTTATTGTGAATCTCATGCCTCCTTTCTTCTGACAAGACACCCTGCATTTGCATATTCGATTCAGCTTTTGAGTTCAGCATTGAACGAATTAGTCTAGAAGGGCGTGTATTCATACCTTCTGTAAGCCACTGGGACGACGCCTGCTTTGAATTGAGCGATTTGCTGGAAGACGGGCTGGGAGAGGTCGAAATGGTGCTGGGGAGGATTGCACCAGCCGCCGGCGTTGTTGGGGAGTGCATTGTTTGGTGGGCAGAAGTTTGTGGCAGTGACAACAATGGAGTTTGGAAGACACCATTTTGGATCATTTACGCACTTGATTTCAAAGCAAGCACCACAGCTCAGCCCATTGTTGAACAGGGCTGTGCTTAATGCCGCTGTGTTCGTTCCATACCCTTGGCTGTACAGGTTCCCATAGCCACAAGCTCCTCCTGCAAAAACCCAGAAAAAAAAACTAGTTTCAACTTGTGGGTTTCGTAAAAATGTGTTCAAATTGTAGAAAGTTTTGATTTTTTTACGTACCCATTGTGCCAGCCGCGTCGCCCCCACCGTAGAACGTAGCGTGGGCATCAATCCAACCTCCATTGTTGGCACGAACAGAATGACATCCCAAAGAGAGTAGAAGACCCACCAAGAGAGGTCCAAGAAACGCCATTTAACTACACAAAAAACAGTAAACCCCTCGAAAGAAAAACTCTAAATCACCCTAAAAAGTTGGGAAATAGAGAGATTAACTGACCTCTTCAAATGATCCACAACCTGTTTGTGAAAATGCCTGAGAGAAAAAAGAACAAAAAAGAGGCAAAGAAGGCAGAAGGGTTTCGTTGGGGAGGGCAGGGGAGGAAGGTGGGGCATATATAGAGAAACTGGAGAGACCAGAAACGTTATTTGGCGATTGCTTTACCCAACGCCACAGCAAATAACCGACGTGTGGGGGCCCCTCAAACTGCCATGTCCAGACGGTTGCTGTCTATGGTGGGGGATAACAACTTTTCATGAAACCACGTGGTTTCTGAAGTATTGTTCAAGGAGTTCCATCACTTTGTGGCCATAAACATGGTTAACAACTCTTACCTTCCAACAATTAACAGCGTTTAGAGACCCAAAAAAGTGGTCAACTTTTCGCTTTAACGACAGTTAGAGACAGTTAATTGCGCAGCTAATGCTATGCCCATACCCTTTACTTTGAGAATGCCATATCCTTCGCTTCATTTGTTAGTCCTTCCCTCTTAAAAGGACTTCAACCCTTCCTTTTGGGCCTTTTTTTTGTATCATTTCTTGGTTGTAAAGCATTAGCTGTGTGGGCGTGCTGTTTGAATATATGCTTAAGCATTCGGGCATGGGAAAGCAAAAAGGAAGTTCACGTAGGACTCCATTCAAAAATTTAGATGTGTGCACTGTTCGGTCCGTGGAGCCAAAATCAATTTAAAACATGGAAAGAAAGGCTATCAATTTGGACACCATGATGCAACCTACCTTATTCTTTTCATTAAAAAAGGGCTGCATTAGGTTCGACTAAAATAGAGCTGTTTGAACCCTAAAAACTAATGTCTAGTGACTAAATTCTAATGTTTTTGAAACCCGTGCAAGCTAACTAAGTTTCACAAACAATTGGGTGAATCCATTATCAAAACTAAAAGGTTGTATCATTATTTTCATGTGAGGTCTGGCATTGGTTAAAAGAAAACAATGGTGTAGAAACCTCTCTCTAGTAGCCGTAAGACTAATAGTGATATGTAACGGACCAAAACAGACAATATTTGTTACCGGTGGACTTGAGTTGTTACAAATAGTATAAGAGCCTGTGGGCCAGAGAGGATGCTAAGCCCTCCTCCCAAGGGGTATATTGTGAGATCCCATGATATTAGAGATAAACACCGGAGGTGTGTCAGAAACGATGCTGGGCCCTCCTCATAAGTGGGTGGATTGTGAAATTCCATATGGGTTGAAAAGAGAAACGAAGTATTTTTTTTTATAAGGGTGTTGAAACCTCATCCAAACAATTGCATTTTAAAATTGTATGACTGATAGTGATACGTATTTTTTATAAGGTATCGAAACCTCTCCTTAATAGATGTGTTTTAAAGTTGTAACGCGTATGACTATAAGTAACAAGCTAAAACAGACAATATCTACTCGAAGTGGGCTTAGGGTATTATATTCCATCAACATGAACAAACAATTACAAGAATCATTCCCCTTTCACTTTACTATGCTGTCTCTCTCGTGTCAACATCTGATTGGATCTTCAAAACATATCCAATTCAAATGGTAACAACAAGAACAACTTTAGTAAAACCCTAATGTTGTGTTTGGACTTTGGAGCATTGCATGAAGAAACGACATGAACCCTCCAATGAAAAAACTTGTCGTTTAACATCATCGGAAAGGTTTCTCTAACACTCACTACACGTGGATGATGTCATGCATGCAGCTGTGTTTGTCGTTGCCTTCCAAACAACAATTCCATAATTAATTCGTAGTTAATTATAAGATTAACACTTAATTTTGTTTAATTATACTTTAATGAGTATTAGTTTAGGGTTTAGTGTCGTGGGAGTCTCCTTGGCTTTAGCTTTACCATCCATTTGTTTATGAAATTACAGGTCATTCCTTCCACTTCACTCTTCATATCTGTAACAACTTTTGCTTTCTTTCTCCAATTATTTTCACCACCTTCCCTTCCCTTATCTCCTTATCTATGCTTTTATGTGCTATAATGTTGAGTTCGATCTCTCTACGAGCTTCTCGGTAATGACTCCATCTATAGATAAAAAGTCATATGATGGAAAACCGCCACGTTAGGTTCGAGAAGAGACGGGATCGACTGCGTTCTCATAGGAGAACATATTCAAGCTTTTGTCTTTCAACAACCGGTTAGGTTCTCATGTCAAGTTTAATGATTTTAAAACGTGCAGTATAAACTACACGAAAGTGCAAAGAAACTTTGTCATTGGCAAAAGAAAAACATTATGAATTACAACATCTTGTGATAGTTTGAAGTATTGGATGATGAAAGTCCCACATCGGCTAATTTAGGGAAGGATCATGAGTTTATAAATAAAGAATACTCTCTCCATTGGTATGAGACGCAAAGCCATGAGAGCTTATGCTCAAAGTGGACAATATCATACCATTGTGGAGAGTCGTGTTCGTCTAACATGAACAACATTTTCTTGGAAGCGAGTAATGGGGTGTGTTGGAGTGCAGCTGTGTTGTGTGCAGAAAACAAAGTGTCCACAGCCTGTGCTCCACTGTTGTCCTATCTTATCATCTCTTCTGTTTTGGTGACTTGATTTTGTGAGTTTCAGAGTAGAGATACATTTTGATGGACACAGAACCTAAACTACAAACCAAAACCCCTTTTAACATTTCTGTCTGACACCAATTCTCCCAACCCCTCTTTCAATGTAAACCCTCTTTCATATCTAACTTTTCAAACTACCATATCACACCACCTTTCATCAACTCTTTCCCAAAGATTCTTTCTACCTACCAAAATACAAAACAAAACAAAACAACTCTCGTCTTTTCTTTTGTAATCTTTCGAACAATAAAGATAAACATGAATAGATCGAGTTTTCTCTTCAAAACGGATCGTGTTACATGTGTATATCAACGTGACGAGTCGATTGAAAGATGTTAGGTTAAGCCTATACTACCAACCTTATCATATAAAAATTCTTAAAATTTCTCTCTCGTACATTCAACTGTGTATAAAATTGAAATGTGACTATCTTCTTAAAAATAAATACACATAACTTAAGAGTGGTTAGCGATAATAACTTAATAAACATGAGATTTTTAAAGTTTAATTAACTTGTTCTATTTTTTTTTTTTTTTTAAATTAAATATAATTATTTAATTTAATAAAATTGAATTAAATACAACCAATGGATCCAGAACAGATAATGGGCCTCGTTATTGGGCTGTAGATTTCATATTGGACCGTCGAAATCCATGTTCGCTTCGTTTGATCATCGGTCGTGATTGTTGAACGCCGTATTGGAAACCCTAGCTCAATTCGTCTCATATTTAACTGCATTTTCATTCCCTTGGAAGTTCCATTCTTGATATCAATCCATTATCTTGCTTCTTCTTTCACTTGAATCAATCCTTAATTTTTTGTCGTTGTTGTGATTCCTTCTCACGTCGTCTTCATGTTTTCGGATTTGTTTCTGTGAAATGAACTTAATCTGAAGCATTGAGGCTTTGCCTTTTCATGGAACTTGTTCTATTGTGTTTTTCATTTCGTCGAGATTTGATGATTCTTCTTTTCGTATTTTCTTTAAGATTTTTCTTTTGGATCAATTGAGCAAGTGACGATGAAACAGACAGGGACATCAGTACTCAGCTTGAGAATGATGATCGTCTGTTGGGAATCTCTCTGATGCTCTTACGACCTATGATTTTCATTTCTTCTCTTCTAATTTCCTTGTTCTTTCACTCTTTTTTTAACCGAAATCTTTGTAATCTGGAAATTTGCCTGTGATGTATTGAATTGCACGTATTACCAGATACAAGAGTGATGATAATACAAATTGTCACTACCTCTGAGGCAAATTCTTTGGATAAAGAAAGAACTGATGTTTTCTACGTTTTCGATGGTTTCTGCTGATTTACATTTTGTTCCCTGTTCTACTGGGAAAGAACTGTGAGATTGTTACTGAAACACAACCGTAGAGTATTTCCATCAAGCCCTAGGCTTTTGATTTTATACGCATAATGAATATGCTGTGTTAAGAACATAAATTGATGCCCAACTTCTCGTTTGCCTCTTATTTCTTTCCAGCTTCTTCCAATTCTCGAAGTCCTCCAACCTTCTGTTCGATCTCCTCAATCAGCTCCTCCCTCCATAGCTCTGCTCTTGCTGCTTCTTCAATGTCCTCTTGCTGCAATATCAGATAAAAACTTCGTCATAATAATTGAGTGAAAATTATGGTGTCATTGCTCAAGAGTTGGATAATTCACCTTCTCATAGACCCAATGTCCTGTTCCATCGCCTCCATCTTTTCTGTACACCTCTGAATCATAGTATGGATCCTAAAAACATAACCTTGAAGGCCTGAGACAAAAGTTTTGTTTTACGTAACCCAAGCAGAATGAAACTAAAGATATGGTTACCTTCATGGAACCAAAGAACAGACATCCCCAACAAGTGAACATGATGTAAAGACTATCTGACATTAACCAATGGTTAAAATGAAGGTTAGTTTTCAATATTACTAATTTTTACATGCGATCTATAGAAATGTCAGTATAATCAAACACTTACAGACATTCTTGATAGCTTCATCACTAAGATGCACTATGGATTTGTGGGTAACAAGGTCTCTTTGGCCGTCCAAGTGATCAACTAGAACTGCCATAAGTGGCCAATCTGGGAAAGCATTTACTCTCCCTAGAGACCCTCTTTGGCGCTTTGAACCTTCAGTCTATTTATTGCACAAAAGGATATGAATGAACTAACAAATATTAGGCGAAAGAAAACCCGTTTTTCCTAACCATTGAATGTGAGAATCAAGAGCTACTTACAAGTTGTCGATGGCTGAAAACTCCGGAGTTTGGAAGCTGCATGAATTGTAATAAAGTGGTCAAATCCAGCACATTAAAATGGATAAGAGTTTTGAGACGAAAGGATAAAGGATTAGCATACATACCAGTGTCGAAAATGGGATGTGGGTCGATTTGTGTGGGTGGAGATTAGAGGAGCTATACAGGGTTTGTTTGATAATGCTGAAGCCTGCGATAGCCTTAGCCATTATTGCAGAAGAAAATAATGTATCTTTACCTGGGTTTTGTAAACTTATTCTTCATGGAGAAGAAAGAATGGATAAGGGATCCATTTCTATCCACACTTTCCCTGTTCTGCATAATTGTCATAGACGAGAAATCCCTTTGATCCACTTCCCCTAATTCGTCATATTGGTCCAATTTAGGGCGACGGGACGTGTCGTTAAGGTTCGTCAAATATTAAATTGGAGTTAAGAGCCTTGGGCCAGTAACACGGGTCACCCTGCAAAGGCCAATGTAAAATGGTTATGTTCTGCCTTACCATGTGTTTCTTTTTCTTCTTCCCTATTTTTTATTTTTCTTTTGTCCCAAACGTTCCTTCACATACAGTTGAACCGATACCACCAAATTTTTCTTTGCATCTGCATCACGCACATTTATTCTCATTATGTAAACTAATAGATTAGAAGGACCGTTCCATAATTTGGTCCATTTTTTATGTTAACCACCCCAATTACTCCACTCTAGGTCACCTTTTCGAATTATTAATGGCCCCAATAAACACATCCTTCAACAATTGTCTAACCCTCATAATCTATTCGGTTATCTCCCTTTGCACGCCTTCCCTCTTCTGAGAACATTTTCCAGCAATCGTTTCGTATTGGGGTTGTCTATTTTCCCCCAAAATTCCATGGGGAAGACTGCATTTTTTGATCTGGAAAGGCACTTCGCCTTCTATGGCGCTTATCACAGCAACCCAGTCAACATTTTCATCCATGTCCTGTTTGTTTGGCCGATTTTCTTCACCACTCTCATGTATTTGTATTTCACCCCTTCTTTCTATACGATTCCTAAATCCCCTTGTGGGTTTGATCATGGCCTAGTTTTGAACTTCGGATTTCTTTTCACTTTAATCTATGCTGCATCTTATGTGATCTTCGATAAGAGAGCAGGGTCCATGGCCGCTTTGCTTTGTTTCGTCTGTTGGGTTGGAGCAAGCTTCATCTCCAATAGACTTGGTTATTCCCAGACTTGGAAGGTAAATTCCCACTTTCTCTTCTTCAATTTAACTCCAGGTTCTTGTAGTAAATTTGTGTGTTTATTACTATTGAGTGCACTGAAGTTTCTTCCTTGAAATTTCCTTGATGGGTTTTTATTTGCCTCTGCTTACAATCACTATAAGCTTGTAATCTAATCTAATCTGGTTGGATTTGGACGATGTGTTAAAGTTTTGACATCTAAGTGGCAGCAAGTTGGGGCCATGTCAAATGGCACTTGGGGTTGATATTGCTGCGCATGGAAGGAGCTTTTATTGCCTGACCAGTTGGTTGATAATCATAATAGTTCTTTATTTATGACAGATCCTTAGCCTCACCAAAATTTCAAGGCCATTTAGTCCTTGAGAGTTTGAAAACGATTTCAGGACATTAGGAATGCTGCATACTTCATACGCTAACCTAATTCATTTTTTGTTGTATATCAGGTGGTACTGGCTGCTCAGCTGTTCTGTTGGACAAACCAGTTTATAGGCCATGGAGTGTTTGAGGTTAGACAGATCACTCATCTTGACAAATTGATTGCGTCTGTTCTTGAATCTTAATTTAATTTGCATTTTTCATTAGAAACGTGCACCGGCTTTGTTGGACAATCTTGCACAAGCCTTTCTAATGGCTCCATTCTTTGTGTTTTTGGAGGTATTCTTTGTCTGGTTTTCTCATCTTCTGAGGGTTGTTTATTAGTGTGGATAATGAAGTAGCTTCGTTGTTCCTTTTGGTTGGTTGCAGGTTCTTCAAACTTTATTCAAATATGAACCATATCCAGGCTTTAGTGCAAGTGTGCAAGCAAAGATAGAAGCAGATATAAAAGAGTGGAAAGAAAAGAAGGAGAAGCTCTCATAGGTTGAATTGCCTGGACTTTGATTAAAAGAAAGGTCTGATCTGGGTTGCCCTTAGTAAAAATACTGTGAAAACTAACTACTTCATATGAACATTTCAAAATCTATCAATGATATTATTGTACATGTTCTGCTTTCCAACCTTGATTTGCTATTTTACTAGTGTGTCTGTCAGAGTACACTAAAATGAATGAGGACAACATGGGGTGTGATGACTTACTTGTTTACTAGATCCTTCAAATGCATGCTCTAACAACTTAAGCCCAACGCCCGTAGATATTTTCCTCTCTTGCCTTTTCTTTTTAGGCTTCTCCTCAAGGTTTTAAAACGCCTTTGCTAGGGAGGTTTCTGCACCATTTATTAAGGAATGATTTGTTTCCCCTCCAATCGAGGTGGGATTTTAAAATCCACTCCCTTGGTGGCCCAGTGTCCTCGTTGACACATCGCCCAATGTCTGATTCTGATATCATTTGTAAGAGCTCAAGCCCACCACTAGCAAATATCGTTTTTTTTGGCTTTCACTTCTACGCTTCCCCTCAAGTTTTAGAATGCTCGGAAAGGTTTACACACCTATAAGGAATGTTTCGTTCCCCTCTCCAATCTCCAACCGACGTGGGATTTCATATTAACTTTCATTTCTTTCGCAACAGTTTCTGGTTCCATCTTCCTCTGGATTGACTTCCAAGTAACTATTATCAGGCTGTGGTTTCTGTACTCTTTTTCATTGCACTCATTTTCTGATCTTCATCATTCCGTTCCATAGACCAAAGCTTGCTTACATATTTGCAAGAACGTGATTACTATTATGATCTGACTATCTCCAGAACATGGCTCCTTACTCAATTGGCAGCGAGTAATGTTCCATATAATATCACGGCACTCCATTGGCATGCTTCTTATCAGCTGATAAGCTTGTTCAGTAAACCCAGCTCGTCCCAGAATATCCCGATCCATAGTGTGCTTAAGCGTGGGTTGGATATTCAGTGTTTGGCCATAAGATCAAAATGCCTCCTCCCTTCCTCCACCTTTCCTCAGTGGCTATACAAGCTCATAATACTCCCACGAAAGTTACATCAGGAGTCTCAAGCTTCTCTCTTAACATCTTTGAGAATAGTGTCGGTGCATCCTCTGCATCACCATGCGTTGCTAATGCCATCATCATTGTGTTCCATCCTCTGCATCCTGTGCGCGTCTTCGACTGCCCCACACTTGGCGTACATGTCGATCAATGAAGCGCAGAGCATGCCAAGACAGTCACAACTAGTATGGTTTCATCGGTCTCCACGCCACTCCGCGCAACATTTGCAAACAAGCAAGTGCTTCATTGTACACAGCCCATAAGAGAGACATGACAGTCGAATGGCTGTATTCCAAGCCACTAAATCTGGTTTGGGAATTTCATCGAACAGGTTGCCTGCTGTTTTGATGTCTTCTAATCTTGCCATGCATATGAATAGGCGTTTTCCTCGCATACGCATGAAATTCAAAGCCAAGTTTCAGAATACCTATTAAGTTCCCTCGTAATACTAAAAATCTGGTTTGGGAATTTCATCAAAAAATTTAAGTTCCCTCGTCATTTTTCATCTCGAGTAATACTATAACTTGACTTTTGATTCATTTTTATAACTTGACTTCTGATTCATTTGCTTACTGTTGAACCTCCCTCGAACCAAACTGCTAAAAAAAACTCCGACTATATGAGTATTAACCTTTAATAAGAGAAGTTGGTATACTTACAATCTAACTAAACACGACATTGTTTTCTTTTAAACACACGTTTAGATTTGTATTAATGTGATATAGAGATTTAAAATATATATCACAAAAGACAAATGAATTTTGCCAATAAAGGTTGTAATCAATCTTAATAAATGTTATTATCATATCTAACTTATTTTATTAATCACATTGATCATGCCTTTACCTACAATAAATTATCTTTTTTGACAATTTATGTTTTATTCAATTAATCTTTGGTGTTTAATTCTCTGTTTTTTAAACTAAAAGCTTGCTTATTAATAAAAATAATTATTTAATTCTTGATTTAACAAAATTAATAATAAAATTTTGTCAAATTATCATTTAACTAAACATTACAAGACTTTAACTTGCTTTTATATTTTACATAGACTAACCCATCTTTGTCTTTATTTATATACAATATCTTAAAGTAAAAGAGTGACTATTCGTAGCTCCTCGTCTATTAGTATACTCGTGCCACGACACTTATAGTAGCTCGTAGCCATTGCAAACAGTGTTTACAATAGTTAGGAGCTTTTTCTCTCGTTGTAGGGTCCCTACTTTGAGCGGGTACTTGTAGGTCAAAGTCAAGAATTATATTCTTTCATTATCCTAGTGGTATGATAAAGAGTTTTACTGATTTATCCTTGAAAGTATACTTTACATACCAAATACGTAGGTTGAGTCATAAATTAGCCTTCGTGGTCAGTGAGTTAGCAGTACAGTCCGTTCATAACATATATCAACATCGACTAAACTCTCTTCACTCGATTTAAAAAAACCGCCTTTCTTTATCGCTTGAACCTACCGATTTGAGTTAAGATAAAGTTTAGATAACAAAAGAAAATGATATTATAAACCAAGTTAGGCTGTCAAATGTTTGATCATTTTCAAGCATGCAAACTTGGAAGGGAACAAGCAAATGGCAGAAGATGATTGGGTAAATAAAATTAATAAAAAAAAAAAACAAAAAAAGCTTATATTAAAATTAGGCAATGGTCAGCTTTATCTTTGAAGCATATATTTAATTAACATTATCTCATATCAATAAATATGTTTCCATACACACTGAATATTTGATTATTTCAACCATTACCTAACTTTGGGATGTGATTTATTTGATAATTCCATAATTCTCATATTCTAATCATTTTATAATTAAATAAATCTTTTATAAAATATTAAAAAATTGTTTCTTTTTTAGATTCGATAGTCGCGTATGTAATCCTTATACAAGGTGAATGCATAACACCATTCCTCGGTTATTAGAGGCATCCCAAAACAATCCGGTAGTGTGGAAGACGAGGCTCTTGTTCCAGTATTGAAAGTGTTTAAACCTCTCCTCTTTCTCTCAGTCTACTCTTAGTATCTGCACACTTAAAAGAAAGGGTGCACCCCCTTCTCGTGTATAGGATGACTCCAGTGCTTTAGAGGTGTAACGACCCAGATCCATCGCTAGCCGATATTGTCCTTTATGGGCTTTTTCTTTCGCGCTTCCCTTCAAGGCTTTAAAACGCGTCTACTAGGAGAAGGTTTCCATACCCTTATAAATGGTGGTTTGTTCTCCTCC